GGAAGGAAAGCAATTGAGGGAGATTTGGGTTTTGAACGATAGAGAGTAATCAAGGTCAGAACTATGAAATGAAGAAGATTAAGATTTGGGATTTGGATGGAAGTAGAGTAAAGACATAGGTAGGGGGAAGAGAGAGAGAGGAAGCAAGTGAAAAGGGAATAAGCTATATGGGAGAAGAAGTTGAAGTGTCTTCTTAGGCAAGCAAGCCAAGTCAGATCAAATTTGTCGAGGCCCATATCTTGCCACGTTATCATATAATGAGGGAATAAATAGCTAGTTGATAGAAGGAGATTTCTATTCCTTTAAAAAATAGTTCAAGAAAAAATTTGCCTCATTTAAAAGTATACGGTGCCCAGTGCTTCTAAAAAAAGTATAGGAATAAAATTGAACTTTAACACTAAAATAAAATATAGGAAGAACGAAATTTAAGTCCTAAAAGAATTATTTTATCCTATTAAAGCCCCAACAAATTTTAAAATAGAAAGGAAGTCCCTTAGTCCTTAATTAATCTTTTGACAAAATTTTAAATGTATAAATTTACAATTTATTTTCTAAAATTTGCAATTTCTTTTACTTTGATTTACAACTCAATTTCCTATTTTAATCTAAGAACACAATTTTTATTTTATAAAAAAGAAAATTAATATTGAATTTTATAAAATTTTGTATTAAATTCTAAAAATTTGCAACTTACTTTTTTAAATTTGCAATTTCATCCACTATGATTTGCAACTACATATTTCAATTTTATTTATAAATACAATCTCAATATTTATTTCCTTATAAAAAATTACTAATTAAATTTCAAGATTTTGCAACATACTCTCTATAGTTTGTAATTCCAATTACCCAAGTTTGCAATTTGAGTTCCAAATTTTATTTAAATATTCAAGATTTCAACCTTGAATTTGTATTGTTATTTTGTGAGCTATAGGCATAATGTTACTTTCCCATATTTGTAACTTTATATCTTAATTTTATTTATGAACAAATAATTTCAATATTAATTTTATTTAAGAAACTTTATTTATGAATTTCTAAATAATATTTGGAACTCAAGTTGTAAACTAAGATAAATGGAATTGCACATTAGGTAAAGTAGATTGAAAATTCTTGGAATTGAACAAATAATTTCTCATAAGAAAAATAAATATTGAGATGATATGCATAAATAAAATTATGATATAGGGTTGCACATATCGAATAAATAATCTTATAAAATTTCATGTTAAAATTCGGTGTTTTTCATTTTTAAAAAAATGCGTGTTTTTAAATTAAATTAAAAAATTGAGTTGTAAATTTCAAAAAAATGGCTGCAAATTTAGAAGTTTAAAATTTAGTCAAAGGATCAATTAAGGATTAAAGGACTTCCTTCGCATTTTGAATTTCATTCAGGCTTTATAGTGATAAAATGGTTTAAATGAAACTTAAGTGTTTTACAGAACTTTTAAGTATTAACATTATTGACCAGCTATCCTATAATATTTTTCATTTTTTCTCCATAACTTTTTGATCATACGGGAAGCCAATCAAATTATATATATTAGCACAGTGAGAACCTTTTTCTTCATAATAAAGTATTTTAAATTGGTTATTACTACTTAAGTTTTATTTATAAATTACTTCCAACATGTTTTATTAATATTAAGAAAAATTTTAAAACTTATTAACTTTATTTTAAATTTTAAGAAGGTATCAACTTTATCCCTATTAAATATACATATTTCAATAATATATTTTTTCTCTCCAATATTCAATGGAACATAAAATAAAAAATTTATGATAAAAATTTAATGACATAACTTGTAAATAGAATAAAAAAAATCCTTCTCTTTATGTCCTATAAATAAGATTAGAGGGAGTATAAAAAAAAATCTTAAATAAAGTGGTTTTCATTTTGGTCATTGTTGGCCAACTTTTTTCTTCTCTTTTTTTGTGAGTTTGGTGAAGTAACATTTAAAAAATGTTTTAACATGGCATTCAGTGCCTTGCCTACTTAACTACTGCCAAATAAGTTAAGATCAATATCTCTGTTGAACCCCGCCCATGGTACTATTTAAAATTTGCATGTGCATTTGTTCATCTGCCAATCCAACCCTAATCTTTGACCATTTTGTCAAATTCACACTTTTTCCAGCTGTCAAATTCATCTTTAATCGATACCATACACAAACATTGAATAATTACATTACAACAACCTAATATAAATGACTACTGCCATACAAACTTAGAGGATATTCAATGTCTCGTGTTAGTTCATGAGCTACATGTCTAATAAGTGTTTTATTAATTATATTTAAATTTGTACTATTCAATTCCCTAAACTCATCCTATCTGTCTATTTTTTATTTTAGTTTTTCCTTCATACAGAATACATCATGAAAATGCAGCTTTTTTATCATATGTACAAAAGTTTCATTTCTCACTTTAATTTAATAGGTCCGTAATTAATAAAACATTAAATTTTGTTTGGTTACATAGAAACTAGCATTTTTTGGCCAAAATATAAACTCGCATTCAACATTTAGATCTGAGCATATACTACACTCTCCCCAAAATATATCTCCTTACAAATTAAAGTATGAGGAGAAGTACTGGTGATAGAATAATATAGTCGCTCAAAGGAGAAACTTAAAGCGTACATCGTCAGGCTACTCGATGGGTATCCCATTTTTCTTCCACATCTTTGGCATGAGAGGAGAGACAGTGTGTTGAATAGTGATGGGCTTTTTATGTTGTCCTGTTAACAGAACAATCAATGCCACTGGACTGAAAATGGGTTTTAACATTGGGTTGTTTATCCAAACACACCCTCGAACCCTTTGGTTCACTATTTTCGATGGCAATGTGTTCGGAAAGTAGCCTCCTTGTGTCTTCGTCACAGCATTTGGTAAAGAACCCCACAAACTCAATTTCATTAAATTGCAATTATGTTATATTCCCTTAAAAAATTATATATTTAATCTTATATACTTAAAGTACTTATTTTCAATTAAATTCAGATATGTATATTTATTATAGATTATTTATTATCTAATAAATTTTTGTAGAGCCGGTAATTTGGGTCAAACCTGACAGGCCAACCCGAATTCACGCGAAAAATTTAAGCCCAAGCCAAAATAATAATAATTTTTTTATTGTTTGGGCCTATTCGGGCGGCCCGAATAGGCCGGAGAAAAATACCTGAATATAAAAAAATAAATTTTTAAAAATATATATAATATAATAAATATTAATTATTTTTTAAGTTTTATATCATTTTATTTTAAAATAACATATATTTGAGTGTATTGCTATAGTTATTTTAAAACAAATAAAAATATTTACATTTTTCTATTTTTTATTATTTTTAATCAAATAAAATATCTCAAAATAATTATTAAAATATATTTTAATATTAATTTTTATATTTTAAGACTCAATTTTTTTTTGAAAAAAATTGAGTCATACACACCATTTTCTTGTCCAAAAAATTATATTATATATTTTTTATAAATAAAATAATTAATTTTAAATTAAAAATAATTTTAAAAATAAAATCTGGGCATGTACGAATTCCCAGCTCTACTATTAAACAAACATAATAAATAAAATAATATTTTTAGATAATTATTTGATTATCATCCATGACAGACTTAGTTAAAATTAAGAATGAATTAAAGTAAATATTCTTTGTATATAGGACTTAAACAATATAAAAGGTTAAAGAAAAATTCAAAAAAATAGTATTTTACCCATAATTAAATGATTTTATTTTATATAATATAATGATGATTATTTTTTTCATATTCTTAAAAATGAAAAGCACAGTTTATCTAATAGTTATTAAAAACTTTAAACTAATTAGGACAATAATTTTAAATTAGTAGTCTAACCGTAGTTGAATTGAGATTAACTTGATCATGACTAAAATAATATGATTCAATTAAAATATATAAATATTTTTATATAACCATGATAAGGGCAATATTTAAATAAATAAGATATTAATTTATAAGTAAAGGAAATATTTATGAATAAATTGCACATAATACAACAAAATAGTAACAAAACTACTTAAATACTTAAGTATAAAATTAATAAGTTATTATTATTTTTATTTATTTCAAGTTAAAATAATATGTTATGCTTAATAAAATTATTTAAAAATTAAAATTGATTAAAAATAAAAAAATATTTTTAAAAAAGTTTCGGGTATTTAGGCCGGCCCAAATAAGCCCGAAACTCGAAGGCGTTAGGGCCAGGCTTGGCTATATAAGCTTTTTAGAAATAGTAAGATTCTTTAAGCCCGATTCGAAAAAACCCGACCCGAATTGAGCCTAATCTGAATAAGCTCAGCTCGCCCGAATTACTGGCTCTAAATTTTTTTTATTAATATTATTGACATATTAAAATCTAGATGTCTTGATTTGATTGGATGAAAATATATTAAATATATAAGTCTTGCCCTTGCCATTATTGAGGCTGAACTACAAATAATGTTTTGAAATTTATTCTCCTTAGTCAATCATGTTTATTACAAGACACATTTAACTACTTTGTTAAAATCAAGGAGATATAAGGTTAGTAATTTTGTTTAAAAATATAATAAAATTTCAATTTTATATTTATTTAAATGATTTTTTAAAATTTACATTATATTTTTTAGTGATTTTAAATAAGGGTAATATTGAAAAAAATAATTAATACCTTATTAAGTGCCCTATATTAAAAATCAAAGACTTTTTAAAACACATCTTCTGAAGGAATGTATACTAAAACATACTATTGTTACTATTTGTGTAATAATAAGAATTCAACACATATGCTATTGTTTTAACTTCCAGTACATTCACACAAAACGTACAAGTTTATTAACCTGTTGTTTTCTGCGCCCACCAAAAAGTTGTTTTCTTCTTGAAGGAAAATCAATATTTGCCTCTTATTCTCAGTTTTTTAGTGCTTTCGAACATACAGTTGAATCAAAAGCCTAAGTATAAAGTGCCCAGATTACTCCTAAATAACATAAACAAACACTCACTTCTTATATAATTACAAAAATGAATACATGTAGTGTACAAGTGACTGATCAGCTCAATTTTCCCTCCCAGAAATAAAACAAACTCTCATAGGATGCAATAATGCAAAAGATGAGACAAAGGGACAAGAAAGAGGCTCCTTACCTCTCCTTTTTCCTTGCTCCCAAAAAAAGATTTAAAAAATGACAAAACTAGTGGGTCCTAATTCTGTCTGTCTAATAAACTAATGCCCTATTTACCTGGCACAGCAACCTTCTGTTGGATCTCTCCAGCTTTGCAAGCCAGGCCTTTACTCACAAAATACAATTTGACAGGGTGGCTTTTCCTCATCAGCCTTCACACACATACACTCATCATCCTTCTTTCCCTTAGAAGGTGATGATGGACACAACCAGAGAGATTCTCAATCTCTTAACTAGACCCTACCTACCAAAAGTAAGTATACCAAGTGAAATTATAAATAAATATATAAGCATGCCCAGGTTAGCTTGATTTTCACTAAAAAATGAAGAACTTGACATGCTTACATATTTTGTTCATAATTTACTCAGTTTACTTATCTTTAGCAGGTTGAGACTATATAAGTTTTCTGACGCAACCCATAAAAATTTGGGTTTACATGGACAATAAAACGAGGATTAAAAATAGAACAGAAAATGGCAGGCTTCATTTTGTTGTCCACCATGATATCAAACAGACCATACCAGGATTCTCCCTTCTCCATCAGGGAACTCCCTCTTGCATTTTTTTAAAAGTGAACTGATGCTTTGGTGTTCTGTATAATGCATGCTTGATTTGCAGCTTGCGGATCATCTCCAATGTGGCAACTCTATATGTAATAAGAGCTTAATAAATCAACAAGTTCTGTCCCAATAAATAATTAAGAGGAAAATGGCGTTCCAATGGCGGGGAAGGCTAAGATTTTTACCTTTTTTTAGTCTCTTGGCTAAGCTGGCAACAAACTCTTATGAAGCAAGATCGCTAATATTCCTCACTCTGAGTTCGACACTTCTCAGATCACGTAGATGTTGTAAAATTTCTTGGAGAAGGTCTAGGCCTTTGTCCCCTTTTCTCAAGGAGCTAATACAGTGCTTAAGAAACTCTCTGTCTGCTTCAAGTGCTTGTAGTCTCTCGTAAAGGTTATCGATCTCTTCTACTATAACAAGCTTCTCCTTCTCCAATTCAACATTTTCTTCTGAACCATTTTGCAGGGAATCAAAATGCAACCCGTTTTCATCACCATTAAACACCCCATCTTCTGCTTCTGAATCAACAATAGCATCAAAAAGTGGAAGAAGTCTCTTGGCTTTTGGACCCATGATATTCTTCCCTAGATGATGCTTCCCATTGATTTCCTTCGCATGACCATTAGCAAATCCATTTACCTGACCTCTATCATCCTCATAATCATGGAATCCATTCCCATTCTCGACACAAAGATGTTCTGTTGATTTAATATTATCAAAAGCATGTTGTTCTTCGTAATTCAACTTAACCAGCTTTTCTTCCAGTACTTTCAGCTGCTCCAGAATTGATACCCTCTCTTCCTCAAAGTTCGACAATGATTCTTCCAAATATAGAACACCATCCACTGGGGTGTTTTCGTTGCTGCTGCTTTCTTGATGGCTGTAGAAGCCATTTTCTTCCTTTGCTTCGTGATTAAGATCAATAGATAGTCCATCACTGTCTTCAGCATTGCTACAAGAAGGAGACGAAGTCCTGCTTCTTATTGTGCAATCCCTTCTTGACATCAAAGTTTTCTCTCTAGTTTCATACTCTTGAACCTTCCACCGATATGCTTCAAGCTCCTTTTCTAGCTCTTGATTCTCTTTCTCCCTCTTCACCATAATCTCATTCAGAAGCTGCAAGGCCTCTTGATCATACTCAGATTGTTCTTCCATCATCCTTTGGTACTGCAAAGCTTCCATCTGCATTGCTGCTTTCTCTTCCTGAAGCCTATTTATCATTGCCATTGTCTGATTGGCTGCTACGGCAGATGCACTCCTCTCTTCTTCTAGCTCTGCATAGAGGGTATTTAAAGCCTTCCTTTCAGCTTTCAATGCTGATTTCAATTTCTCAGCTGTTAGCTCACCACAATCAATGTCACTTATGACACTTCCATCCAATGAGTCTTCTGTTCCAGATTCTTTCCTCTCAAGTAGTAGCAATTTCTTGTGTAGATGATGCAGATTCTCCACAGAAGCGGGTGTATCAGGAACTTTCTCATCCTCATTTTCAGAAGTGGGGGTATCAGGAGCTTTATCGTTCTCATTTTCATTAATATCCAAAGATGACAAATGATTGTTTTCCACTGGGATCTTTGGCTCAACTACCATGGTTCTAAATTCTACAAATTCTTCCTCACCTTTGTCATGACCTAATTATATATTTCAAAATAGATAAAACTCATATCTTCTATATCAGAAAATCAAAACTATAGACTTGTGGAAGAAGATAGTAGATAAAAATTTGAGCCTTACCACATTCATGTTGATTGGAATCCAAGAGAATATCTTGGCTTTGATATTCATTCCCTAGTTCATGTTCAGGAATTTCAGTCCCTATTGAGACATCTGCGTCAAATTCATCACCGTGAATTTGTGCTGCTTCTTCAGATGCTGCAGGTAAAGACAGATATCAGAAATGGGTACAAGAACCAAGAAAGACCATAGCAAAACAAAGAACAAAGGAGACATATTATTACAACCTGGAGAAATAATATTCGTGCACGTTTCTTCTTCTCTTCTTTCCATGTTTGCTTTAACATTATCAACCTTAGGCGAGTCTTCTTGGTTCTTCTCAAAATTTTCTTCTTCTTGAAATCCTGAGGTTGCCTCTCTGATGTTGACTTCAACTGGTTCAAGCCAATTGAATGTGGAAGCCTCTGTACTCTCACGAGCTGAAGATAACGCCTCAGTATTCCCAAAAGTGTGCCAGTTTTCAATAGCCGGTTCAGCTTCAGCTTCAGCATGCATATCAAAGTCCAAAATAACATCTTCGTTACTGTCAATTCCATGATCTACAACATGTTGACTGTGGTTCTCAATAGGGATCAATCTGCAATCGTCACCATGAATTAAAAATTCCAGATGCTGAAGTGAAGTTCCCTGAGATTTTTCTTCAGTTCCAGAAATCTGAATTAAGGACAAGTCACAAGATTGATCATCCTTGGGGATATTCAGATTTTGCTCCTCAGCGGCTTCCTGTTCTTTATCCGTACCCAAATCCAACTTGTAATCATGATCATCCACAATCTCCTTCATATTATCACAAACAGAGCAAGCACAAGTGTCATCATCCTCCTCTCCTCTTCCACCAGAACCCTCATCAACATCAGAAACCAGGTGACTTCTCTTGTTTTCTTCAGTGCTTCGTTCATCTTCATGTTGATCAACTGCAAAATCCAATCTGATAAGATCTGAGTGACCACCCTTTTCAATCTCTGCATCAACCCCTCCTTCTGTAATCAAATTTTGCTTCTTGGTATAGTCCAAAAAGCTCAAAGAAGGTTTAATCAGAACACAATGAGGGTAGAATCTGCTGTCCAAGGGAACACGACAGCAAGAACAACTCAAACTTTCCTTTTCGTTTTCAATTTCCATATCATGAGCATCCTGAATCCTACCAATCCGCTTCATCCATGGGAAAAAACCAAAATTCTTGGAAATTTTGACGTAATCTGCTTGAGATGAGGACGAGCAGTCCTCACACATATATTCCGATTCAGCTAGTCTCCGATGAGTCGAGCAGAAACCCAGTTTGGAAATCTCAGAGGCATGAGCTTCACACACAAGATCTCTCAAAGAATTCTTGCTGTCGCCAGGCTCGATGATGTGATCAATTCGGGTACACCACACACAAGGTCTTTTGAGGCCAAAGTAATCGGCGAATTTCAATATCAAGAAAGAAAAGAGAGAGTTTAGAAGAAGAAGAATGATGAGAATCCATTCCAGGATGGCATAGACAAGAACAAGGGTGATTTTGTTGGTGTTTCTGAGCAACATGGTAGCAAACTTGTTGGCAGCCATGGATGGATGATGCTGTGTTGCTGATATGTACAAAAGAAGAAAAGTTTTGGGAGGAAAATCAGAGAGGAACCAAAATGTTACAGAGAAAGAAGCGGAGGAGGGGAAGACAGAGATTAGCACAAAGTTTCAGAGGGAAGAGAATTTTCAGACGAGATGTGCAAACTTTTATTGTGGGTAGAGTACAAAACAAGCGAAGTAAGCTATAGTAGTTTTATAACAACTAGCTGTATACTTTGATGAGTTGAAGTTTAATTTTAATTTTATATTTATTTTTTAAAAATATTAAGCATTTTATTCTTTTAAATGCGATATTTTTTTTAAAAAAATATTTTTTTGGATTCAAAAATATTCTTCTATTATAAGGTTGTTAAGTTTTTTAGTTTTTACTGATGCGGTATTTGGTTCATGCATAATAATAAATAAGATTTTGATCATATTTTTTGATATTAATTTATTTTAATTTTTTTAAAAAAAATACTGGGCACCTTAAAAAATTTTTTTATAAGTAATGGGTACCTTGAAGTCTGATTAAAATAAAATTTAATAAATATTATCAAAATATTAAATATTTTTTATATTTAATAATTTAAATATTATTATTTATAAATTTGCATTCAAAATTTATAAATTACTTTTTAAATATTAACAACAAATTAACATTTTATAAATTTATAGATGACTTTTTATTATATATCAATCTTCTCTTTAAGATAATGCTTAAATTGTTATGCTTTTTGTGCGCGTCAGAACTTATTTATATTTTTAATATTGGTTAAGTTTTTTAAATTTTTAGGTCATTTTCTATAATTTTTTTGGTCAATTAACGATCTTTCTCTAAAATATTACACTACCCAAATTTAATACCCTCTATACATTGCATTATTAGGAGTAAAATAAAAAACATACAAATTAAGACCAACAATATGCGAACAAAAATGTTAATATAAAATATATCACTCATTTCATTAATGTGTTACAAAAAAGAGAAAAATGGAGAGATGGGAGGAAAAAAAATCTCTTTGTTAATTGAAAAGTTTATTCCCTTCATTTTTAATATAAAATTATAAAATATAAAAAATATTAAAATATTAAATTAGGTGGTCTAATTTTTTAAATAAAATATTTAATATTTCAACAATGTTTAATAAATTTTATTTTAACAAGATTTTAGAGTGCCCAGCGCTCATAGGAAAAGACTTAAAAGTGCTCAATACTCTAGAAAAATAGTTTAGGAATAAATTAACATCAAAGGACATGATCAAAGTCTCACATATTATTGTGCCCCCACGTGCCACATTAGTAGAAAACGAAAAACTTAACGGTTGACTAACACAAAAGATTTTTTGCTCCTCAAGAAAATAATTCAGAAGTAAAATTGCCTCACTTAAGAATATATGATGCCTAGTACTCTTAAAAAATAAGTATAAGGACAAAATTAAACCTTAACCCTTATTTATTCTTATTGAGAGATTATCATTTTAGCTATATTTTGAGCAGAATTTTTTTTTTTCTGAAAAATGTGAACAGAATTTTAATTCATTCCATAATGTTCTCATTTCAAGGTATTTTAATGACAACTAGAAATTAGAGGAGACTGAGTTGGGAGAAAAAGAAGGGAAAGGAGCTTGAGTTAAAGAAAATTAAAGAATGTTACTTTTATTGGTATATGGAAATGCTTATTACAAAAAAAAAAAAAAGAACAGCTAAACCCATTAAATGCATACATATAAGAATTTTGTTTTTTATTATAATGTATTGGGGTCAAACTAATTTGAGTTTCTAACGATACAACACAAAGCACTGGAATTTTCCATGGAGCCAAGGAGGGAGGTTATGTTGGGATTCAGTCATGCCAGCTCCTCTGATGAAGTGGTGGGGGCTGCCCTAAAGTTAAAGGGTGGGACCTATGGTGGCTGCAGATGCTTCATTTCATAACGTGGATTTGTTTCCCAAGCTGCTTTCTGCTTTTAATTTTTCAACATTTCCTCCCCCACTCTCTTCAATTTATCAAACTCTCTTTTCCTGCCGCTCACAACTTCACCAATCTTACTTTGTTAACAAGCTTCTTGGTTTCTTCTTAATTCATTTTCTACTGAGCCCTCTTGCCTTCACCAAATGCTAATCTTGTTTTGTTATCATCACAAAAATATCTCGTCCTTTCATTTCTCTTCACCAACATTTTGTTTTATCATATATGTCTCTAGAGTCATTTTTTTTTCTTTATTTTATTTTTTAAAAAAATTATTGACACTTAGAACTTCCAATTAAAATATTAACAATAGCTGGGATGGAGTGAAAGGAGCTCGATTCCCTTTAATTAAAGTCGAGGATTTAAATCTTATAAATGAAAAATCACATTAAAAAATTACTTCTAATTAGACTAACAATACTTAATTAAAAAAATCAGATATTGTGTTTTGTTTTTATTTAAAAAAGACTTGCAACTAAAATGAAATGAATCACTTGAGATTAAGTCATCTATCAATCAAAAAGAAGAAAGGGAGCTAAATGAAGCCAAAATGCCTCAAGAGTCATGCATTCATGCTTGTTTTCGTTATGGTTTTGCGTTAGGGCCGCACCGTCCTTCACCGACTTATTATCGTCATCTTTTTTTTCTTCAGAAAAATCATAAAATCCTTTTTGACCATTTGAATTTAATATTTCATAGATTGGATCTGCTTAAAACTTGTTATTTGCTTCACCAAACATGTACCGCTAAGTTTTTCAGCGTCTTGTTTGGCCCCACTGGTTATAATTCAGCAGATGCCTCCATTACCCCCACCCTAAAGCTAATTTAATTAAACCTAATTATGCTTCCATTACAAAAATAATTTAAGTACAAATATGCCAGCTTAAAGGATTTCAAAAAGAAAGCAGCAGCCAACTTTTTCACCTTTTCATGAAAAATATTTGAATCCAGAGAAACATGTAAACATTCTCAGAACGTTAACCCTGACACAAATTTTAGGTGCAAATTATTGTTGTCACATGAAAAATTGCATAGCACCTGATAAATACTAAGTACTAGCTATTAATTAAATGAAAATAAAATTTGAAACAACTGTATTCAATTTGTGGAGAACATGATTGCTCGCATTAAGCCAATTAAATACTCTTCTAATCTTATTTATATTTATATGGTAAAAAAAGATTAATTTTAATTTTATTTATAAGATATTTTATTGTTTTCTACATTCATTTTTACCTTTATGCTTTTATTAAATGTTAAAAAAATTATTAAAAATAATTTTTGTTGTCCTTATTAGATGCTAGGGATGAAAATTTATTAAATTTTAAAACAAAAATAATAAGATTTAAGATTTTTTAACTTTAATAAAATATATTAAAAATAATTTATAAATAAGACCTAAGGAGTAAGCAATAAAAAAAATCATTGAGATAGTTGGATAGATTGGAGATAAATAGATAGATATTTTTAATGAGCATTCCATTGTGTCATGATGCTCATGTGAGTGCGTGTTATGTTATAAAATCTGGGTTAGAGACCTGGGTATTTATACACTCTGATCTCATTTATAAAATATATTTTAAAATTTTCATTTAGTTTTACTTAAGTCACTGACTTTTTAAATAACATTTAAAATATATTTTTAAAATTATTTTTTACAAGAAAAAAAAAGCAACATAACATCATTTTTTAAATTTGTTATACATGGACATATTTGAAATTTTACATATTTTATTCTTTTTACTTTTTTCGCATTGGCATTTGATAAAGTTGATAGAAATAACCTATAAAAAAGACTGTTGGAGTATAACAAATCATGCAGAAGAAGGCATTAGAATAATCCAAATTATGCTAAATTAATTAAGTTACGGTTTGGAAATTGAATTGATGGATTTAAATTTAAATTTGTAGATTTAAAATATTTCATTCAAAATCCATCTATTTAAAATTTTTGTTTGAATAATATAAAAGGTTGGATAAATTGGCCCACCGATAAAAAATAATATTGTGTCAAAAAAATATAGATCAAATTTTTAAAAATTTAAAAGTATGACCTATTCACATTGATATATAAAGAGTTTGTCATTGATATATGGGGTCTATCATTAAAAATTTAAAATTTACAAAGGATTTATTATTAATATACAATGACATATCATTAACAAATATAATAAATTAATCATGATACAAAATATAATAAATGTTGGATTGTTTACTTAGTTTTGTCATATAAGATGGGCTATTTTTGCTAATGCCCCTAAAAATTTTTAACGGTGAAGAGAAATATGAAATTGGAAGCAAAAATGAAATGTTGAAAGTGATGTATTGTTCAATCAGAAAGGGATGAAAATGAAAGACAAGAGAAGTGACAAGAATGATAAAATCACTGATGATAAAAATATGAAAAAAAATAAAAAGGTTGAAGTTAATAAAATTTTGAATGATTAGGATTTAAAAAAATTCAAAAACTTCTGTGTATTTAAATAAGTAATTGATTTAAATTTAAATTTAAATTTTCATGCATTCAAACACACTCTAAAATTATTAAACCATAGATGGATCTTTAATGGGATTAAAGAACATTGAAGTAAAACCCACTTTGTAAAGTGAATTACTGGTGGGAGCCCGGAGCCCTTAATTACTCTTTAACAATGAATTTTGTGTTCCTTTAATCACAATTTTTGTGATCAATAAATTGGCTCTTTTTCTGGCAAAAAAAAAAAATCACAATTCTCTCACTCTAATCCAAAATACTACTCATTTTTCATTTTAAAAACTGTCCTCTGGTCAGCTTTGCAATGCGCGCAAGGGGTTCAAAACATTAAGACACAACGACCTAAAAAAAAGAAAACACATAAAGATTATTTATTGGCCCCCGCATTGCTAATAAAATAGTCAACTATTATGAGCCAAAGAGCTCCTAACTAAAGCTTTATTGAAAACTTCAAATTTGACGACCCAAGCTAACACATGAATGTGTGTGTGATTGATGATTCATGAATGTAGCATTATTGTCAAATTACTCAATTAGATGGGAGGACCCTACGGCATCATGTAAACGGCTCGCGTGGGCACGACGACACCATCTAAAAAAGCAATTATAATTAGTATTAGTATTATTTAAAAAATATGGGAATGAATCTGAAACTAGTTTGCTTAACCGTGCATATTAATCAATATGGAGCCTATTTTCAAT